ATTAAAACAATTGCCACCCAGTAGCAATGACCATACTTAGCATCCATATCTTGGTTTCAAAATACCATTCTCCAATAAAAGAAACTAGGGTTTCTTGGAGAAATGGCTCATTTATAGAAGCTTGTTTTGTAGGTGCAGAAAGTAAATACTAAACAAAGAGGAAAAATAAAGAAACCAAGGAGGATGGCATGTCCCATTTCACAGGAACAAACATAAAGTGTCCTCAATGTCAAAGCTATAACAGTTTGGGCCACAAAATAAATAACAAATAACTGGATTATAACCCAAGGGATAAAATAAATATTCATGAGTCCATGCTGACACATATGTTAACATATAATGCTACATATTATAGATTAATTATATCATACATATATAATCTAATACGCTATGGTAATGTATATTACATCAATTAATATATTGATGTATTAATGGTGCATTTCAGATGAGTGACTGTGCACGAAGAGACTTCTGTACTATTATGACCTTTTTAGGAAATCTATCTAATATTAGGATTCAGTAGAAAGGATCATTTGGCCAACAGACCCAGAGCCACACATTCCAAGTTGCCTTTTATCAGTAATGGAGGTGAAAAAGTGGCTTTGAGTATTTAATTAACCTTTTTGTTTTCAGATCACTGTAGACTCACATATAGTTGTAAGAAGTAATACAGACAGGTCCCACATATCCTTTACCCGCTGATAACATCTCACAAAACTGTGCTATTCTTATATCACAGACAGAATATTGTCACTGATACTGTGCAGGTGCAGAGCAGGTCCCTTGCCACCGGCTCTCTCCCTCTCCCCACCCCAATCCCGGGCAACACTGATCTGTTCTCTGTTTCTATAATATTGTAATTTCAAGAATGTTATATAAAAAGAATCATGCAGTATATAAGTTGTGGGGATTGGCTTTCTTACTCAGAATAATTCCCTGCAGAGCCATTGATGTTGTTGAATGTATCGGGAGTTGGTGTCTTTTTATTGTCCAGTACTATTCTTGGGATAAATGCCCAAGCGTGCAATTCCTGGGTTGTATGGTAGTTAAATGTTTAGTTTTATAAGAATCTGCCAAATTATTTTCCAGAGTGGCTATAGCATTTTACATTCCCACCAGCAGTACATGTGTGATCTAGTTTCTCTGAATCCTTGTAAACATTTAGTGTTGTAACTATTTTTTTTATTGTAGCCATTCTGATAGGTGTGTAGTGATATTTTATTATGGTTTTAGTTTGCACATTTCTGATGATAAAAGGTTTTGACATCTTTTCATGTGCTTGTTTGTCATTGATGCATCTTTTTTGGTGAAACATCTCTTCCCGTCTTTTGTTCATTTGCTAATTGGATTGGTTTTCTTAAAATTTAATTTAATTTCAGCATATTATAGGGGTACTAATGTTTAGGTTACATATATTTCCTTTGACTTACCCAAGTCAGAGCTTCAAGCATGTCCATCCCCCAGATGATGCACACCACATCCATTAAGTGTGAATATACCCATTCCCCCTCCTCCTTCCCCCCTCTTACCTGATGAATATTACTACTATATGTGCACTTATATAGATTGTTTTTTGTTTTGTGGGGGTTTTTTTGTTTAAATGTTGCCTATTGAGCATTCTTTATATATTCTAAGTACTATTCCTTTGTTGGATACTTGGTTCATAATTATTTTCTCCCAGTATGTAGCTTGTGTTCTTTTTTCTTTTTCTTCATTCACTTAACAGAGTCATTTGTATGCCAAATGTTTTTAATTTTATGATCTACAATTTATCCACTTTTCCTCTTATGAATTATGCTTTTAATGTGAAATATAAGAACTTTTTGGCTAACTCTATATTCTTAAATATTTCTCTTCTGTTGTTTTTATCTAAAACTGTTATTGTTTTCTACTGAGGTATGTGATCCATTTTGAGTTAATTTTCGTGTAAGGTATGAAGTTTATGTCAAGTGCCTTTTTTTTTTTTTTACCTATAGTTGTCCAGTTGCTCCATCATCATTTGTGGAAGAGGCTATCCTTCCTCAGTCGAATTGCTTTTGGATATTTGTCAAAATTCAGTTGGGAAAATAAGAAATTTTGTTCTGGGCAAGATGGTACAGATTCATTTCTTCCTGTTTCTCCCTACCAGACACAATTCTCAGCCTGGGGATAATGCAAGGAGCTTATAAGGACAAACTCTGACAGGTGGCAAGAAGGTGAACTGGGCTGGGATGAGAGAACTGGGAAAAAGCGCAGCAGCAAGACATTGTTTCAACCTCCAGCCGGCAGAAGGATGGAACTTAGGTCTGGCGTTTCGTGATCTTTAATACAGCAACAGAAGGTCCCTTCCTTCCCCATAGTGAATAGGAGCCCACTGCCAATATCAGGCAAGCTCAACACCACTGGCAATGGGGTGTTAGGAACCTCAGCAACAGAGAATAGACAGAGAGAGATTTCTCCTTTCCTGTGAGTGAGATTTCCCTCCTCTGCTGAGAAATACTGAGGTGGACAGGTGGAACAAGAGAGGGGAACCCAGCCAAAATGAGCAATGTGGCCTGGGGAGACTGTTTGACCCAGCTAAATAAGTACTCCACTCCCCCAGTCAGAGAAACTGGGTCAGCCGGGGGTACCAGCACCAAACTTTGGAAGTCCTTTACATCTCCCAAAGGCAGGAGGAATCTTGCCACAGCAAATACCCATCCAGGGAAGCCTCTTGGTCCTGCAAGCCAAAGACTCTTTTCTACTACAGAGAGACAACCTGCATCCAGTCAGGGGAGACCCTTCTGTTTCATCGGGCTCCCCAGAAGAGGCTAGGAGGGCTCAGGTAGTATCGAGTAAACTTAACAGACCAGAGCAATGTCTAATGAAATAAAAAGTAAACCATATTGAAACCACAACCCTAGTAAACATTATGGGTCCTGCATGTTAAACCTAATTGGAGTGGCTGTTTACTAAGATAAACCATTCAAATAAGACCAGAGTCTTTTAACATAATAGCAAAATGTTCAGGACACAATAAAAATTTACCTGTTGTAGCAAGAACCAAGAATTTCACAACTTGAATAGAAAAAAAAAAAAAAAGAGAGATCAGTTGATACCAATACTAAGATGAATCACATGTTAGAATTATTTGACAATGATTTTAAAATAGGCATCATAAAAATGCTTCAGCAATTTATTATATATTTTCTGGAACCAATGAAAAGACAGAAAACTCCATCAAAGAAAAAGAAATTATAGAATAAAGAGCCAATGGCAATTATGGAACTGTAAAATACCAATGACGTAAACTTAAAAGAATAAAAAGCACATCCTTGGGTGAGCTCAATATATAATGGAGGTGACAGAGGATGAATCTGGGGACATATCAATGGAATTCACCCCATTTGACCAACAGAGATAAAATACACTGGGAACAACAAAAAGAGGGAACAGAGCCTCAGGGACATATGGAGCAGTAACAGAAGAAAGACCCAACACATTTGTTATCAGAATCCCAGAAGGGGAGGATATATAAAGTGGGACTAAAAGAGTATTTGAAGTGATAATGACTGCAAACTTTCTAAATATGGCAAAAGACGTACCAGCACAGATTCAAGAAGTTGGAAAAAATCCAAATAAGATAAAGACATGACACCAAGACACATCATAATTAACTAAAGACTTAAGCTAAAAACTCAAACATCAAATATAGAAAGCAGCCAGAAAGAAGTGACACTTTATCCACGGAGGTGTGCCTACTGGAATAACACTGGGTTTTTTATATGAACTCATGGAAGCCCGAGGCAACTGGACCAACATTTTTCAAGTGCTGAATGAAAAGAACTATCTCCTTTTCAATCCAGGGGTGATTCCTCCAAACCAGTTCACCTACTGCTTCTACCTCTCAGAGTCCTCCTTTGCTGTGTTCTGTGTTATCCCCAGGGTTTGCAGTTGTTCTTCATTGGGGGGAGCAGGGAGAGAGAAAAGAATATGCTCCCTTTCCCTCACTGTAAGACTTATGGTTAAAGACGGTTTCAAGCAGTGCCCACCATGACCTCGGCAGTGTGTCTGCCGCATGTTTGTTGGCTGCTCCACGAAAACCAGCTCCCACTCGGATTTCTCAGCTAGGTGTCCCCCCATCCACCTCCTTCCATAGGAAAGCCTCCTCTGGTGGCTCGAAACCATCCTGAGTTTGCCTTTCTCCAGAAATTATTTGTATGATGTTGTAACTAAGTATATTTTTAAATAGAAATGCTCAAGTCATACTATCCTACTAAGTAATCAAGAAAAGAATGTGTCTAAGTATCTAGAGGCCACTTTTGTCAAGGAGCTAAACGACATTTGGGAACACATTGGCTGCCCTGCAGTACAGCCTTTCAAGAGAACGCCTGCCCTCCGACTGTGGCCTGTTGAATGGGGAAGTGCCAGTTCTCAGACAGCAGAGCCTCTTGAAACTAAGCCAGCAATGTCTTTACCCTTTGTCAAAGAAAGCAAGAAAAAGAAATAACCTGGAGCCTTCAGATAGCAAGTGTCTCCATAGGTCTGTATTTATGGATATAATGTAGGGAGGAGGGGAAGGCTTAAATCTAAGAATGTAAATTGTTTTCTCTCCTTTATTTAAATATTTAAAATCTGTTTCTTGCTAAAATGCAATTTGCCACAAATCTAATTTGCCACTTCTGAGCTAATCAAAGAAAACATAAAACAGGCATCACTTTCTAATCGACAATGAATAATGAGCAAAGGAACGATGTGAGTGAGGGGCCTTTGTACATAATTCTAACAGCTACACTTATGCAGAAGATATGTTAACTAAGCAAGGCTGAGGATAGGCATGAGCATATGTCAACCTACACAATGATTCCATGTTTGCATGCCTGAGTATATGTATGGAGAGGCAGCTTTTATCACACTTGCTTGGATACCATATTTACTTATGAATTATACAGTTTCCTTTAAAAATTCATGTACAGAAATTATATCTAATTTAAGAATTTTGTCTTACAACTTTGTTTCCAAAATGGTGATGCAAAATAAAGACTCTGAGATTATTCAGAAAAAATCCAAACTTTACAGAAACATTTGGCACTGGGAAGATGAACAACAAAAAGACTGGAAGAGAACCTAGTGTTATTTTCTGCATATGTAAGTTTCTTTACAACATGCATTTAGGAGTATTTTATACAAGTATGTTATTTACTGTGACCTAAGTTTAATGATTTTATTTTTTAAATTAGAGATGAAAGTTGTTTTTCTCTTTTAAATAAACTAACCTGCAAGATCATAAACAGTAATGATGAGTATAGAAAACATTTATAAGGGAAAGATTAAGAAAAATAATTATAAACCTAATTGGAATTCAAAAATTTTGGAAGTATTTTATGCATATGAATATGGTTCAAACTTCTTAATTTTTACAAAAGTAAGGTTTAACTGAAGGAATATACTGAACTATAACATGATTTGGTTCTCACCTAATGTCCTTTTTCTGCATTCAACTAGAGAATCACCCATGTCACTACTTAGCCCTTGGATCCCAGCTCTTTGGGGAAGAAAGTGGTTCTGAGAAACTAAGGGACTGATCTGGACCAGGGTCAAGACAAGGCAGAAGCACCTGGAGATAATTTCCCGAGGTACAGCCTTGAATATTTAATCATGACGTGAGATTTACTAGAAAAAAATTGAAGCAATTTGCAACAAATTTGCTGAAAAAACCTAGACCTGAGCATTTTATAAGTAGAGTAACAATATAACCTACAATCCAAACAGGAACATTTCTGAGTAGGAAACTGAATGTTATAATTATGCCCAGACTGTTAAAAGTATAAACTAGGACTTGTTCTTCTTAGAACTAATCTTCAGACAATCCATACTTAACCATTCCCTTGATTTTATATATCAATGATGGCACATTTCTATGCAACCCATTGAAGTTCTGTATAGTGTAGAATGAGGCATACCTTATTAGTGTAACATTGGTGTGAATTTCATGTTTAATGGGACAGATTTCCCCAGGATTGAGGGTGCACATGTTTGCTCCTTTGCCTTCATGATATTTTATGAGGGAAGAGAACAACTGATAAACAAGGAGAGATCATTAATCTCTTCTAATCTGAAATATTCAAGTTTAAAATCTAATGCTTTAAAGGACTTAATAACAAGTAGAGTGTTTTCATCTAAAGACTGAAAGAGGCTCATGACTGCTCAACTCTCAGATACTTGAGGCTTAATTAATGAATTAAAAAAAAACACTAAACTATTTTTACAGCAACAGCGAAAGGGATCCCATGGTGACTTTTATCAAATGTATACATACATAAAGACATCAATGGTATTTGCCACAAAGTGTTGTCTATTTTGGGTTTAATAATCCTGGTTCATTCATCTTTTGTTCAAATCTTTAACAATCAAGGAGAGTCTCTTTGAACCTTTTCAATTTCCCCATATTCCTTTTCAATGGTAAAATCTATTGTAGGCCAGCCTTATAATGGCAATCCATACTTTTAAAAACCTGGACATGGGGAGAGAGACTAAAGAAGGCTGTGATGTTAGTGTCCCTTAAAACATTTTCACTAAACAAGAGGAGGCCAGGAGCAAGTGATGGGGGAAGAATGCCAGCTCTGGAGTTAGATCTGTTTTCAAATCCTGGCCTGCTGTTGGGCCCCAGCAGGTGTTTAATCTCCCTGAACTTCAGTTTATTCGTTTGTAAAATGAGGGCAATGCCATCTGCCTTGGAGAAATGTGGGGAGGACCACAGATGATGTGTATATGGAGTTCCACATGTACCTGGCACAAAATAAATAGCATAGGGAGGCTGCTTATATTTCTAAAATGCATCTGTCCCACTCGACATAGGAAATCTTCACTATCCCCTCTGGTGAGGCCAAATTAGGTCTGAACTTTAGGAAGCAGTGATTCATTGTGTAGCATCACACATCTCATTATTTGATTGGCATGCTTTAAATTCACATCTCATGCCTCTAGCAAGTTTAAACTTTGTGAGTCAGAAATCCAGCCTTAGCCCTGTGCTTGCTGACTCTAAGGACAGTCTGCTGTTTACAGTGACAACCCCTTTTCAGCATTTTCCTTGGTGATACATGACCAGCCTGCTCTTGGTCTTTGTTTTTATTTTATAATCCTTTCTTCTCTCTGTGTTAAAGCCTAAGGTTTTCCTACACAAATATATTTTATTCCCAATCCCCATGTGTCTTTATTTTGCTTGTTCTGTGACCTCCAATGCCATTTGTGAATTTTCTGTGTTAGCAAATGACATCAGACCATGGCACACCTGGTGGTGATTGTTCACACTTGCAGGGCACTTTGTTTCATGGACCTTGCCAAAAGGAGGCTCACTTACCCAGGGCAGAGCACAACAATGTCACCCCAGCCTGTCCGTGCTGGCATGGTGGACAATCAGCACCAACTTCCCAGGGATAAGTGACAAGCTCCACAAACAATCTTTCTTCATGATAAGCAGAAATGATTTCTCCTTGAGTTAAGCACAGAGAGGATTTTTTTTCCTCCAGGTAAATCACTATAAAGTTAATGATTGATATTGTTAAACAGTAAGAGAGTCTATTTCATGCTTAGCTCACATCTTCAAAGCATTTCAAGCCACAAGAATTTAAGCATATTTAAGAGACTCCTTAACTAAAAAGTATTTGCTCATAACTGACCTTATATAAATGAGAGTACTTGTAGATACGTGATAAGTGAGTGGATTTCACATAATATTTAAGGAGAGAGAAAACAGTGAAGTTCATTATGAAAACCCTGAGCAGACTAATAATGTCTTGTTTTAAACAAATAGAAAAAAAAATTAGGATCAATTAGGGTAGACAAAACCAATGTCTATGCTGAGCTATTAATGCCTCACAAAACAATTTTTCTACGTTCTACAGATTTTTTTTTCACTCTGTTGAGACCATATGTTTCATTCTGAACTCAGGAGCTCAACTTTACAGTCTAATTAGAAAGTATTTCCTCAATTTCTGTTTAGTTGAAGCCAAGCTATACAGCATGTCTATTTTGGGTATTGTTCATTAAAAATTTACTTCTTTTTAGTAATCCTACCTTACAGAATCATTTGAAAAGGGTTATTAACTAATTAACATTTCAAGGCACTAAAACAGCATGTAGGTACATCCTTAAGCACATATATTTGTTTTTAAGAGTGTTTGGGGCACAGGGAAGAGATAAACACATAACATAGTGCTCATGTTTCCTTTAATGATAGATCTGGATGATCTCACTTCCCTGAGAAAATAGCTAATTAAAAATAGCTGAAAATAGGGATTACAAAGACTGGTGAAAGTGAGATGTGTCAATCTTCTTAAATCTCCAGTGCATTTCAAATAGATGCACCTGTTGTTTTCTTTTGGATCATCAGTAATGGAGTTTGCCCTCCTCCTGAACAACATTCCTTGTATTTCTGCTGATTATTAAGATAATTTGTTTTTCACTTATCCCAAAATTATTGACTGAATCTGTACTATTTTTCTGTATTTTTTTCTGCACTATACATTCGCTGTAACTGAGATTCAGCCATCTTACATATTTATGTAGATTTGACTTGAGTTGAAATAACAAGCTAATCCAACTAATCCTCTAAAAATGGAATGGCATTTGTTCTTTAATGAGAGCTTCTAACATTTGTTATTGTGATAATTATTACCAATATCATATCTAAAATGGTATCACAACTCTTCAGCTAGGTCAGTAAAAGCCTGTCCTTCCAGAAACTGCCTGTTTCCCTTCCCATGAAATGGTTAAATTTCTTAACCATTTTCTTATAATTCAAACACTCTGCCACATGGCTTCTCTCTTCTTTTAGATCATTATGGAAAATAAAGACAAAGACTGCTCAATTGTAAAGACTTCCTAGACTTTAATAAAACATCAAAATTTAAAATGTTAAATTAATTATTCTAGTCTTAAGAAATCACAACCAGATCGTCTTGAAGTTAATAAAGAAAATAAGGACTAAATATGTTTAGCATAAGTCAGATATGATATTTTATCAGTGAACATGAATTAAGACATTTCAACAGTTTTGTGAGTAAAAAAATCAAAATGAGGAAATAGCATATTTTCTAATTTCCTAAACAAAGTATAGGTTTTGATGGCAAGTAACTAGCTTTTCCAAGTGGTTTGACTAACTGAAAAAAGTTAGTTTAACTTAGATTAACTAAGTAAAAGTTTTTATAAGCATATCTTGTTTTATTACACTTCACGTTATGGCACTTCACAGATATTGCATTTTTTACAAATTGAAGGTATGTGGCAACCCTGTATTGAGTAAGTGTGTTGGCACCATTTTTCCAACAGCATGTGCTCACTTTGTGACTCTGTGTCATATTTTGGTAATTATTGTAATATTTCAAAATTTCATTTTTATTATATGTTATGGTGATCTGTGGTGAGTGATATTTGATGTTATTACTATTGTAATTGTTTTGGGGTACCACAAGCCACACCCATATAAAACTGCAAACTTAATTGACAAATTTTTGTGTTCTGGCTGCTCTGCAACCAGCCATTCCCTGTCTCTCTCCCTCTCCTCAAGCCTCCCTATTCCCTGAGACACAACAACATTGGAATAAGGCCAACTAATAATCCTACAATGACCTCCAAGTGTTCAAGTGAAAGGAAGATTTGCACGTCTCTCATTTTTAGTTATAATCTAGAAATGATTAAGCTTAGTTAGGAAGGTGGGTCAAAAGCCTAGATAAGTTGAAAGCTAGACTTCTTGCACCAGTTACTCCAAGTAGTGAATGCAAATGAAAACTTCTTGAAGAAAACTAAAAATGTTATCTCAGTGAACACGCAGATGATAAGAAAGTGAAAGAACCTTATTGTTGCTATGGAGAAAGTGTTAGTGGTCTGGATAGAAAATCAAAACAGCCACAACGTTCCCTTAATCCAAAGCCTAATCTACAAAAAGGTGCCGACTCTCTTTAATTCTACGAAGTCTGAGAGAAGTGAGGAAACTTCATAAGAAATGTTTGAAGCTAGAAGAGATTTGTTCATGAAGTTTAAGGAAAGAAGCCATCTCAAGAACATAAAAGTGTAACATGAAGCAGCAAATGCTAATGTAGAAGCTTTCACAAGTTATCTAGAAGATCTAACTAAGATAATTAATGTGGCTACACTATACAACAGATTTTCAATGTAGAATAAATAGCCTTATAGTGGAAGAAGATTCTAGTGACTTTCACACCTAGAGAACAAGGTGCCTGGCTTCAGGGCTTCAAAAGATGGGCTGACTCTTGTCAGGGACTACGGTAGCTGGTGACTTTAACTTGAAACAAATGTTCCTGTACCATTCAAAAAATCCTGGGGCCTTTAGGAATTATGCTAAATCTACTTTTCCTGTGCTATATAAATGAAAAGGCAAAGCCTGGATGACAGCACATCTGTTTATAGCATGGTTTACTAAATAGTTATCACTGTTGAGAACTTCCTGAAGAAAATTAACACTTCCTGAAGAAGTTCCTCCTGCTCAGAATAATAATAATAATAATAATAATAATAATAATAATAATAATAAAGATTTCTTTCTAAATACTACTGCTCATTGACAATGCACCTGGTCACCCAAGAACTCTAACGGAGAGGTACAAGTAGATTAATGCTGTTTTCATGCCTGCTACCACAATAGTCATTCTGCTGACCATGGATCAAGGAGCAATTTCTACTTATTCAAGTGTTACTATTGCAAGAAATACATTTTGTGAGGCTACAGCTGACACAGAGCGATTCCTCTGATGGGTATGGGCTAAGTAAATTAAAATTTTTCTGGAAAGGATTCACCATTTTAGATGTCACTGAGAACATCTGTGATTCACAGGGAGGCCGTGGAAGCCACGTTCCTCTTAGGAATGAAAGGACCTCACATCCCACAGCCCGGCTTCCAAAGAACCGGCTCAGCGAGGTGGCACCGGCTGAGGAGGAGGCGCGCTGTCCAGGTGCTGAAGTCTGCCACCGAGCGCCTCAGGTAAGCCGGGGCAGGGCGGCGGATCAGTTCCGCGCATGCGTGACGCGTGGAGGCTCTGACCCCACGCCGGGCGTGCTGAGGTTAATCCTTTAGTTCCCCTCGGGTCAAGCTTCCTATTGGTCCTGGGCGCCGAGCATGCGCACTTGGTCCGTGCGCGCGGGCGCTGGCTTGGCGGAGGTCTCCCCTCCAGGAGCAGTCCCGAGTGTGCCGGGCGGCGCGCACGTGGAACCGGGGTCCTGGCGGCCCGCTCAGCGCGAGCTTGGCGAGAAAGCGGCCGGTGGTCGTGCAGGGCGCGCTCTCCCCTCGAGCTCCGTGGGGTCGCTGCGGGCTTGGGCTGCAGGGCTCGGCTGGGACCCCCGGCCTCCAGCTTGGGGAGGCGCGGAGACTGCCGGGCGATGTGGGGCCTCCCCCCTGCGGCGCCCTTGGTCTGGGCACTTCCCAGACCCGGGTAAACCGCGCGTGGGACGGGGCGGTGCCGGGAAGGGGCGCGCTCGGGAGACTGGGGGCCGTTCCGAGCGCGGACCCGGGCGCACGCGGGCGGTGAGTCCTCCCTCCGCCTCTGCACCTGCCCCGGCCCTGCCAGTGCCCGGAACCTCCGCTGAGAAACGTGGGAAGTAGCGTTTGCTTTTTATAGGGCGGCCGGCCGTAGGGATGAGGGGTAATTCTCTGAAGCACCCAGAACAGTGTGTGGTTCCTGGGAAGTGGTATAAGTTACTAGCGACAATAAGGTTTTCATCACCACATTTTCACAGCACTGAAATATATATAATCAGGGATTTACTCATTTAAAAGATACACATACCGAATGCCTTCTGTTTGCCAGGTGTAGGTGCAGTTCTGATCCCTAGGGACAGAGAGTTAAAGTAGATATATTCAGTAGTGATTTTTATTTTTTCGTTATTGCCTAACGTTGTTACTTTCCTTAAGGCTTAATTTTCCATTACTGAGTTGGATGGAGAAGAATACATTTAATTTAACTACTCGTTGGTCACAGTCTGAAAGCCTAAAGTATGGTGTGGATTTGAGTTTAAATCTTTCCAGACGGTTCCACAGATTTAGACAGTGTGCCTATTAAAACCGGATGAATGAGCTTTACTCTTGATAATCTGTGGAAGAGCGGACGTCAGCTAGTAAATTGAGTGTATTGAAAATGTTGTTCGTTGGTATTCTATTTTTGAGAGTGTAGGCAGTTTCTCTTGTACTCTAAGATCAGTTTGCTCAGCATTAGAATGCAATGTCTATCAAGAAACCTGCAATTGTAATTGAATTGCCTTTTTCTTTCTGAAAAAGCACAACAACAAAAAAGCCCACTTAGTACTACTGTTTCAGGCACCACCTAATTGCATTTACCAGATAGATACTATTATCTCCATTTTAAAGATCAGAAATCTAAGATCAGGTCAGTTAAGCATCTTGCTCAGTTACACATCTTATAAATGGCCACTTTCCCAGATTTAAACCCACATAGTCTAATTCTAGATTCTGACATTAAACTGCTGTGCTTCTTTCTGAGTTAAGATTTAATTTTCTATTACCCCTAGTTAAATGGTGAGTCTTCTCTGTCTCTCTTAATTTCCTTTTACACTTAATACTATTAACTCTAATCAGAAGGTGAATTTAGCGTATCTTCAGTAGAGTAGGTGCAGATTTATCCTACCCTAGAATTCTTGTGCAAGAGTATGTCTCAACTGTCTTCTTTTATAAATGAAGGGACATCTTACTATTTAACATTTGGTAGCATTGTATAATGTTTGAATGGCAAAGCATTCCAGGGAAAAGATAGATAAATATAGTGTGTTTAAATTTTTATTTTATTTTATTTTATTGAGACAGTCTCACTCTGTCACCCTGGCTAGAGTGTAGTGGCATCATTGTCATTCATTGCAATCTCAATCTCCAGTGCACAAACCATCCAATTGCCTCTGCCTCCAAAGTAGCTGTGACTATAGGCTCATGCCACCATGCTCAGCTCATTTTTCTATTTTTTGTAGAGATGGGGTCCACTGCTCTTGCTCAGGCTGTCCTTGAACTCCTGAGCTCAAGCGATTTTCCTGCCTCAGCCTCCCATAGTGCTAGGATTACAGGTGCCACCCACACCCAGCTTTTTATTTGTATTTTTGTGTGGATGTTGTTGTCATCTTAAAGACTGAGGAACTTGATATCTTCTTGTAGGACTGTTACTGTGTAATAAACTCTCTTGTTCACTTTTCAGTGCTATGTAGCTTATAGCAACCAAAGACGGATCTTCACTTTACAGATGGGCTATAACTGTGACAGTTCTTAAATCTCTCTTAAAAGAATGGCCACCTGTGCCACTGTGTTTATGTCCTTTGCTGGGGGAATTGTTCTTCAGTCTTTGGAAACGCCCCCCCCCCCCCCCAGCTACCTCAGTGTAGAATCTTGGTAAGTGTTTATGCGAACACCTTCATTTGATGTTCTTAACCAGGACAACTCGTCAGAATCTCCTTGGAGCCTTTACAGTCTATATGTCTACATATCTCAGCCCTGCCTTCCTAGAAAGTCTGATTCAGTGGCTTTCTGTGGAACCCAAGCCTCACGCAGGCATTTTGGTAGAAAGTTTGGTTTGAGGACCTGAGGACCACTGGTGTATTTTTCTTTTCTTTTCTTTTCTTTTCTTTTCTTTTTTTCTTTTTTTTCTTTTTTTTCTTTTTCTTCTTTTCTTTCTTTCTTTTTTTTTCTTTTTTTTTTTTTGGTCTAATTACAGGACTAGGTTATCAACCGTGGAACTTCAAAACTTATTTTTCTTAACTTATATCATCTTCAATCAAAATCAAGAGAAGAGTGTCTCACAAAGATGGGGAATAGTCAGCGGGGTTAGTGCTGCCAAAACTTGGATTGGAAGGCACTGATGACCTTGGGATGAAGCCCAGAAGGATGAGGAAAGGTGAATGATAAAAATAAACAGACAGACAAAAATAATTTTTCAAAGTATTGTTTTAGGATGTGCCAGGGTAAATCAGTCCATTTTTTAAAGCTACTATAGATATTAGCCACTGTCAATGTTTTAGGGATACTCAGATAACATGATACACATGCTTTAGTGGTCTCAGGGAACCTATACCTACTAGGAAGCACAAAACAGATAGCATACATGACAGACAGCAGTGTTATGTGAGAGATGATGCCTGAGCACACAGGAAGATTACTTGAGCCTATCTTGGGAGTTTAAATTAATTAATAAAGTAAAACCACTTACAAAAAGGCCACTTGCATAGTAACATTCAATGAATAATTAATAATATAATGACAACATTTATGTATTAATAATATGTATTGCATAGTAAGCATAATTTAATCATTTTACAGTAACGAAGTATCTTATA